TAAGAAAATCACACAGGAGAGGTATCAGAAGCCTGATTTTTAGGAAAGTCCCAGTCACCACTCAGATTCTTATTGTTGGTGAGGACTAGCTTGCTGACAAGGGTATGGGAGTCAAAGGCTTGACTTTCTTCATTTCAAGGCCAAAGACGAACTCTAAGAGCTAGAAGCCTCTCCTTGGGATCTCATGGAAGTGCTAGCTATGATTTGGATATGGTTTTGGTGTATACACAAAAGGTTCATGTGGTAGGATTTTTGTACCAGTGTGGCATTGCTAAGCTGAAGAAAACTTTTAAGAAATGGGATCTAGTTCAAGGTAATTAGATCATGGGAGCATTTCCCTCAAAAGGGATTATGCTAGTCTCATGAAGTGAACTATAAAAAAATTAGTGGCTGTCGGAGGTTAGAAGGAAGTGAAAGATGAATAGATGGGACACAGAGGATTTTTAGGGCAGTGAAACAATTCTGTATGGTTCTATAGTGGTGAATAGATGTCGTTATGCATTTGTCAAGACCCACAGAATATTTACTAAGATTGAACTCCAAGATTTAGCCACATCGTTGTTTATAGCAGCACAATCCACAATAGCCAAACTACAAAATTAATCTAGGTGCTCTTCAACAGATGAATGGACATGTATATAAAGAAGAATGCCACAAAGAAGAATAAAATTATGGCATTTGCAGGTAAATGGATGAACTGGAAAACATCATGCTAAGGGAAATAAGCCAGACCCAGAAAGCCAAGGGTTGACTATCTTCTCTGATATATGGAAGCTAGAACAAAACAGGAAAAATAAAGAAAAATAATGGGGGATTCTATGAAAATAAAAGAGGGATCAGTGGAGTAGAGGAAAGGGATTGAAGGGCGGGGGGAGGAAGGGCAGGAAAAGAGTACAGTGGTAGAATTAATGTGACTGAACTTTCCTATATAAGAATATACCCCAGTGAATTTCATTCTTATGTATATGAGTAATGCATTAATTTAAAATGTAAATAAAAGAAGAAAGATCAGTAGAGAAAAGGGAACAGAGGGAGGGAAAAGGGGAGGGAAAAGGGAAGTATTGGAGATTGAATTATATCAAAATTAATCCCAGTATTATGAATAGCTAAAACAAACTAATGAGAAAAAACAACAAAAAAGATTAAACCCTAATATAAAGTATAAATTTTGGGTTATAGTGATATGTAAATATAGATTCATCAATTGGAACAATTGTACCATTCTTGTGTGGGACATTGATAAAAGGAAGGCTGTGCATATGTGGGGACAGAATATATAGGGAAACTGTACTTTCTGCTCAGTTTTTTGATGAACTTAAAACTACCAAAATGAAGTCAATTTAAAAAAACAGTATTGGACACATTATATTGTTATTCTGCATGCATGAATATGCAACCACTAATCCCATTAATATGTACAACTACAATGCATCAATAAAAATGTGAAAAACAACATAAAAAACCCCAAAATAATCAAACAAACAAACGAACAAAAAACAGTGATGGAGAAGCTTCAGCTTCATACCTTGCCCTTGAATTTATGGGTTTAGTGCAAGGGGCCAGACTCTGTTTTCTCCTTTATTCAGGGTTGGGTTGTTCCCTTGATTCTCACTCACTTTCCTTGATTTGATTCAGCAGGGTCTGGGTCTCCCCTCTTTCTTTTCTTTTTTTTCTTTTTGGTACTGGAGATTGAACCAGGGGTACTTAACAACTAAGCCACATCCCCAACCCCTTTTGTGTTTTTAACTTTGAGACAGGGTCTCACTGAGTTGCTGAGGGCTTCACTAAATTGCTGAAGCTGGCTTTGAACTTTCTATCCTCCTGTCTCTGCCTCCCAAGCTGCTGGGATTACAGGCATGCACCACCATGCCTAGCTCCCCTCTTTATTGACTAGTAGTCCTTTCTTCCTGAGAGGTTTCTCCTTCTCTAAGATATAGTAAGAGGAACTAACCAAGGTTTCTTAGGAGTAATGGCTGTGGGACAGATTGATGTCTTCTAATGGATTGTCACACTGAGTAATCTAACTCAGGATCCTAAATAGAACTCATAGGAGAGCACAAGTTTCCTCTTTCTGTTGAGCTGAGACGCTTCTTTGGGTCAAGACCCTCATTTTTCTGATACTCCTGAGGAAAAAAAATGAGGGTAACTGACACTTATGCCTGAGTTTCTCACATCTAAAAATAGGCAGGACTCTGTGGGATCCTCACTAATAAAGGCTTGGTAGATCCAACATTTTTCAGGTTATTCACCTCATTCCTGGCCCATCTTTCAATGGACTTGAGTCAGCCCATCTCAGACCAAGATCTTCATCTTCCTAAGAACTCCAAAGTGAAAATGAGATTCAGTCACATCCCGCCACAGCTGTTTGGGAGCTCTGTAGGCTGAGAGTAGGGTCAGGAATTTATAGGCCATATCGCTCTGGGAAGGTGTTTCCTTCTTTCTTCATTTAGAGACTTCAACTTGATATGTGTCAGGGATTAAGACTGTCCCCTCTACTGACCTGAGGTAATCCTCCTTAGGGTAAGATCCACAAGTTATTAAGAACCTTGAAGAATAGGGGAGGAGATCCTCAGGCTGACAACTCTGTCTGGCACGTTGTTACCCCTAGTCCTCCTACATGGGGATATCTGTGTGTATCTTAGCTTCTGTTCCTTGACTAAAGACTTTCTTGAAAATGGCACATTAATAAAGTTCTTTCAGTGTCTCTATGACAAATCTTGTAGGGAATGGGTCCTTTTCCCAGAATAATATAAGATGGGGAACCTGTAACACATCAATGTTTATAGCAGCACAATTCATAATAGCTAAACTGTGGAACCAACCTAGATGCCCCTCAGTGGATGAATGGATAAAAATTGTGCCATACATACACAATGAAATATTACTCAGCAATAAAAGAATTAAATCATGGAATTTGCAGGTAAATGGATGGAGTTAGAGAAGATAATGCTAAGTGAAGTTAGCCAATCCCAAATACCTAAATGCCAAATGTTTTCTTTGATATAAGGAGGCTGATTCACAGTGGGATAGGGAAAGGGAGCATGGGAAGAATAGAGAACTCTAGATAGAGCAGAGGGGTTGGAGGGGAAGGGAGGGGGTATGGGGTTATAAATGATGGTGGAATGTGATGATCATTATTATCCAAAGTACATGTATGAAGACATGAGTTGGTGTGAATATACTTTGTATACAACCATAAATATGAAAAATTGTGCTTTATATGTGTAATAAGAATTGTGATGCATTCCACTGTCATATATAAGTAAAACAACAACAACAACAACAACAAAAATAGGAGTCCCAGGACAGATGTTTTCTCAGAGAAAAAAACACATGGATCTATTTCTTTTCTTAATAGTCAAATTTAGCCTCTTAACAATTTCTGTTAAAAAAGATTTAACTTTCTAAAAGGAAGGGACTGTCCAGAATGATAGAATGTGAACCCATTATCTTTTGAGGTTAACTGACTTTGCGTATGAAGATAATCACATTGTCAACAAATATTATCTCTTTTTTCTGTAATTCATGCCTCTTCATCATTTTAGTATTTTTATTGCTCTGGTTATGTATTCCAATACAGTAGATTGGGCATAGATTCTGTAGGAATCTTGTGGGAATGATTGAATGTACATAATGTGTGAGAAATGCCCAGAATATTTAAAAAGTGCCAGTTCTTTTTATGATTAATTTTTCTCTTCATGTTACAATATACTACACTGGGGTTCATTATTTTGATAATATGAGTATGCCACATTCTAGGACAAAAAACCCTGTTAGATAACATGCTACTTAGCAAGGAAAACAAAATAATACTTTCCCCTTACATGATAAATCATTCACTGTCAGTGTGAGGTAGACTTCCTCAGTTGATGTAACATAAAGCTTCTAAAAGTTATTTCAGGGAACAAACCTTCCCTCCCTCCCAGCTGCCATTTCATCTAAACCACTCCTATTTTATTTAAAAACCACCTGAAATAGATCTTGCCTAGAGTTTGCCAAGTAACACACAAGGTAACCTAATTGCATGTACTTTTTAATGGAGCAGATTCTGTATACTCCAGCCTAGAGCAAAGAATGCCAGCACATTGACCTCTGGACATCTCACCTCCCTGGAAAGTATCACCCTTATGTCCTAGAAGCTCACTTGAGATGATGTGCATAGAACACTTTGTGCATTGTGTTTGACTATGCTGGGACAGAAGCATGGGAAACTTTCTATCCCTGTCCTAGGTGGAGATTCTCTCTGGTTTACCTATGATACCAAGGGAACTTCTAAAATCAATTCTCCATTTGAGGTTTAGTCTCTCTACTCTGAGATGTACCACCTTCAAACCTGGCCTATGTTCCCCACTCCCAGAGCCTCAGCCAGCCCACCATGGAGCCCCACTTAAATTACCTCCCACTGAAGGACTTAAGACTGCATTATGAGATAATACACATTTGACTGCACTCATTTGGAACTCAAACCCTCCCTTCTTATCCCTTGTTTTCATTTATCCTTTTAGTCTCAGATGTGTTATCATCAATTTTCTTACCTGACAGCTGCTTTTGGACCTTATATTGCTTTCTTTTTTTGTGGTGCTGGGGATTGAGCCCAGGGCTTTGTGCATGCAAGACAATGAACCTTATACTGTAAAGTCAGTTACTTGGTCTTCTACCATTGAGATTGGCAGGGGGGTATTGGGTATTAGACTCAGGGACACTCAACCACTAAGCCACATCTCTTGCCATATTTTTTATTTTATTTAGAGACAGGGTCTCACTGAGTTGCTTAGTGCCTCACTGTTGCTGAGGCTGGCTTTGAACTCACGATCCTCTTGCCTCAGCCTCTGGAGCCACTGGGATTACAGGCATGCACCACCACACCTGGCCTCAGTTATTAGGTTTTCCTTTGTCTTAGTCCTATCAGTAATAATAGTACTGAGCTTTGTAAGAGGAAATTCTCAATTGATATTCAGGAAATAAATGAGTCTGTGAACATGAGGGTCTAGTTTATTATGATTTAAGTCAATATTCTTAGATAAATCAGGTGTACACAGTTATTTGTCTTTTAACTTTATAAAATACAGATGTTCAGAAAACCAAATATTAACCATTTAACTCTTTATTTCCCCATTCCATATATTTTACTGCTGAATTTCTTCACATTGTAAAAGAAATGTTTATTACAATTCCATATTTTCTTGAACCAGATCACTAAATAAGATCACTAGTTTGTTTTACAAAGTAATGAAACTCTTACTCTTAAGACTGATAAAAAGTGTGATCAATATCATTCATAAATTTAGATTATAACATTAAATAAAAAGAACATTTGAAAACAATAATACAAGTAAAATCTTAGGAACACTAAGATATTATACCCTGTGTTCCCTCCAGTCATATCTAGCCCTCTACTACTTGAGACAATGATTTCCTTCTTTAGTTACTGAAGAATATGTCTCAACTTTACAGGTGTGGGAGGAATTGTGGGACATGGCCCTGGAACAATCACTGGCTGTGGTGGTGCTTTCACTGAGTGTAAGTATGGCTTGAGCTCTCTCTTCCTCATCTCTCAAAGCTTCATCATACCAGGACTGGAAGGCACTGGGCTCTGTATGATTGATCTTGGCCCAAAACTCCAGGACTTTCATTTTACTTGTTTCAGCATGAGCTCTTGGGCCCCATAGAAATTCATAGCGAGCAGGATCACTATCAGGTACCTGCCGGTACTCCAGGTATTGAAGCTTCACTAAATCTTGGGTGATGAGTTTCCTGGGCTCCCCAAAAATGAAGTGTCTCTTCCCAGCATATAATCTCATCTTATTCAGGAATTCCCAGATATTCTCCTCAGTGGCACAATTTCCCTTCATGAAGATCACACCCAGGAGATTCATTAGAAGACCAGTCTTGGGAAATCCCCTTCCACGGCTCACTATCCCATTGTTGGGGAGATTCATTTTGCTGACAAGAACATAGGCATTCTTCGTAGAATCAACTTCCTTTAAGTCAACACCAAATACCACCTCTATGCTGAAAGAAGCTCTTCTGAGGATCTCAAGGAAGCGATTCTTATGCTTTTTATTAATAATCTTCAGCATATCCACTTTCAAAATGGGCCTTTTCATTTTGTACATGTGCATCATGAACTGCACCAAAATGCTGGTTGTTTTGGTTAGAGAGTCTTTGTGAGGCTGCATGCTAGAAGGTGGGGACTGGGAAGACTGTTGCTTTTTCTTAATTTTGCAGTTGGCTCCTTCAGGTGATCTTGAGGGATAAATGCTTACAGGTATAGTGCTGGAAGAGGGTTCCTCAGGCACCTTGGGAGCACTTTGTGACCTAGAAGCAGAACTTTTGCGGGTGATAACTCCTAAATGAGAAGACGAAGGAGGAGCTATTTTCTCCTGGTTTTCACTGGCCTGAGCATTCATCCGGAGATCCTGGATCTCACCTTGGACCTGGTGGTGTTCCTCCCGAGTACAGCGCTTACTCTTCTGACTTCGAGGCATGATAACACCATGTAGAAACAACAGACACAAGTATAGGCAGGACAGCAGTGATGAGAGCACCTGGAAGAGAAGGAGAATGAGAAACCATAAGTAACTCCAGCAGGGAGATGCCTCCTTGGCAAGAAGAAGGCAGGTTTCCTTGAAAGCACTGATTTAGGAACCCACAAAAGTTCCTGTTCAAAACAGCCTGTCCTCTGTGAATCCTATAGAAATAACTAAAGTGTGTCTTAAATTGCAGTCCTGTAGCCCTGCTGGAGGAATATTGTGAGTGAAAATGGCAGTGGCAGGTCTAATTCTTGTGGATGCCCTTCTACTCTGGGGTAGGGAATCCTCTCAGTTCACATTCAGGATCATCGTATTTAACTATTAACAGTGCTTGCCCCCACTTTCATGTGCAGCACTAATTTTTGTAACCTCCAACCAATGTTTTCCTTTCCCTAGGACCCACTAAGAGGAAGTGAAAGGGTACCTTAGCCCACCACTTTTGCCAGGGAATGCTCAGTTCTAAGAGCTCCATGGAGGCCTACTCTGATATGGGCTCATTGAGTTCCTTGGTCCTTATTCATGGTATTCACTGTGGCTCTTGGTAGGAACCGGGACATCTAATTCCTGCTGATCTGATGCTCCTCCCCTCAGATAAGGGCCCTCATCAAGCTACTACTATGAAAAAGAAAGGAAAGCTCACATACACCTGACATCTTTGCCTGGGATCCTTGAGACTACAAGTGTAGGGGTTCATTTATGGGCCCTCTCCATTGTCTCCTGTTTTGGGGAGAGGAGTGATAACACCAGTCCTCAATTAGACCTCTCACTCTGACTCCTATAAGGCTCTGGATCTCCTTTCTTGGCACAATTGGAGCATAAAACTACTTTAACCTTCTTAAGACTCTCAAAGTGAAAAGGGGATGACATACCCTGATAAGTTTTCTGGGAATTCCACAGATAAGAGAAGGGGAAGAATGTATGAGAACCCAATTTTTAGAGTTGTTGTTTCCCTTGGTCCTCACTCTAGTCTCTGACCTTGACTTCCTGTATGAGTTGGGACACCTCCTTTCACTAATTGATACCCTCCAGCCTCAGAATAGTGCCCAAGACAGAAAAGTCAGGGTTCCCCATGTGTGAATATCCGTGCCTGGAGCCCCATAGAAACTAGCGCAGTAAAATTGCTTTGTGTTGCCACCTGGTTGGGGAGATATCCCATCATTAGACTCAGGGCCTTCTACTCTATTGCAGTTAGGGCCCACGTCTCTTTCACGTGTTAATCTAGGCTACTTCTTAGATCCAGGCCATCTACTCTCTGACACTTTTCAGAAAGAAAAGAGAGCTTTAACCAGGCCTCCCAGGGGACACCACACAGAGCTAGGAGTTAGTGGAGTCCCCATTGGCATGAGGGGAATGACATCCTCAGTCCACAGTACCTCACCTTCACGCCTGACTAGTTGGGGGAATTCACGCTTCACCTACTGGACACTGCGCTTCTCAGAATGAGGCCCTCATCTTCGCAACGGAAGTGAAAATGAGCCACTTCCGGCCAACGGCTCCCTGGGATTTCCAAGGGCTAACAGCAGGGGCAGTTGCTAAGGAACCGCATTGTTCTGTAATCTATGGTCCTTAGCTCCTCACACTGCTCACCAGCATATCCTGGGATTTCCCCCTCTGGCTTGAGACACACAGCCTCCAAACAAATTTTCACCTCTCTCAAGTTCTACAGCGGAAATCTGGGTAGGCCCCACATGGCTCCTCTTACCTGGGTTTCACAGCCATGACAACAGCAGCGGGGTTCTGCTAGCATCCCCATTTTGGGGATAGGTCCTCTCATCAGCACTGCATTTGCCCAACACTTCTTTTCCTCGGGGCCCATTAACCTATTAGCTCCTGGTACTCTGCTTTCTGAGACCATCTAGGTAGAAAGGGGCACAGCAACCTGGCTATTTTGACTGATGCCTTAAAACTAGAAATGGCTTCTGCCTATTCTGGGATTCATCCCTCTGCTGACCCTAGTCCTCCAAATATAGCCCTCATCCTCCTAAGTCCATCCAGTGGAAGTCAAGATATGCTACACAGTCCTGGAAAGACTGTTGGGGTTGTTGGTGGCCCGCACATTTCAAGAGTGGTTCTCTGATTAACACTGGTGGTCTTCACCCTGACTCCAGTTAGGGCCAAGATTCCTCACTTTGAAGAACTGAGCTCAGGCATTCCCTTCCCTGAGGCACTCCAGGAGGAAATCAGGGTGCAGCTCAACCCTCAGCATTCTGCTTGGAGTATTCGATGGTTAGGTACAAGGACTGGGCATTTGTGGGGTTAGTGTTCTTTTCTTTCTCTTCAAGAACCTCACCTTGCTCCTGACCACTGCTGGGACTCCACTCTGCCTGACATAAACTCTGTTCAGATTAAGTTCCCTTCCTTCTGACATCTCCCAGTGGAAGTTAGGGTTGGGTACATTAGATTACTGATGTTAGGATCCTGGGAGGGTTGTCAGCACAGTGAGAGTTTGATGAGACACTACCATTCTTGTCCCCCAAATATTTCCCATTCAGAGTCCTTATCTTGATAGCTATCAAACATAGGGGTCTTCCTTTTACTAAACTCAGGTCCCTCTTCTTAAGCAAGTGCTCTCACTTGGCTGAGCACTATGAGGAATGAAAGGAAGGATGCCTAGTGTGACTGTTCTTCCTGGGGCATTATAGGTCAGGTTTGGGCAGATCTCTGAATGAAGTCCTGCATTTTGGGGATGGTGGTCTCCTCAGTATTCATTCAGTTTTCTCATGTCTCTTAGATTGAAAGCTTCTTGGAAAGTGTCACATCCTTGCAAACTCTAGAACAGTGTTCCTACTGCAAATCACAGGTCTATGTTCCAAGAAGTGAGATGGAGATCCTTCCAGGCAAGACAGGGGACCCAGAGGAGGAGGGGGTGGGATGTCAGAGAACAATGATGCTGATGTATCCTTCTTTTCAATAGTCAGTGTGTTTTTCTTATAGTACTTCTGTTTTAATTGATTTTCCTTCTTAATGGAAAGGAGCTGCCCAGGATGGTTGTGAGATCCCTGAATTTGAGATTATTTAACTTTGCATTTGTGGATGGTCATATGGCCACTGTGCATTATCTATTTCTCTTTTTTATTCATAACCTTCATTTATTGTAATATTTTAATTGGTCTGGCCTTGTATGCTAACCCAATTCTTTGGGCACAGAATCCTCTCAATTAACTTAGGCAGGCCTAAGAATAAGTGAGGAAATGCTCACTCTTATTAATATTGTTAAAAATATTGCACAATGCTCTGGACATTCACTCTGAGAATAGATACACTTGGGAGTATTGGGAAGAAAACAAATTAAAGGACACAAGGAGAGGAGTAGGATGAACAGTGGGAGCTACAGAATAATCTGGACTGGGAGCCTAGTCCCAGCTCTGTTGCTTTCTGGCCCTGTGAACTTGAGCAAATTACTAGACTCCAAGACAAAGAAATTTTAATCAAACCAAATACTGCTTAGCAATGAAAATTTTGTACAGTGTATCACCATTAGTGAATATTACATATAATGTGTTTTTGGAAGAATCCTCTCTTGTGTGGATACATTTCAAAGCAATTAGAATTTTGTCAATGATCAATGTCTTTCCTAACACACTCTTTTCTATAAAACACTCCTATTTTCATTTATTTATCCACCACTCCAAATCTAGAACCCCATTAGAATTTGCCAGTATACATAGTAACCTAATAGAATGACATTTCAATTTCCAGTAGGCTCTGGATTCCCTGTCCTAGAGCAGTATACTAGCATAGTGGATTCTGTGCCTCTCGCCAATTTAGAATGTATCTCCTTTATTTTTTAGTAGGTCCCTTGTAATAATGTGCATAGAATACTTGGTTTGTACACTATACTTGAATGTGCTGGGAGAGGAGCAAAGACAGTTTCCAGCTTTGCCCTAAATGGAATTTCCAACTGGCTTACACACAACCCCAACGTTTATAGCAATTATCCATTGCATGTTCAGTCTTCTGTCTCTGAAACACAACATCTAAAGGGCTGGCTCCTGTTCACCACTCATGTACCATTAGCCAGATAACATGCAGCCTCACTTAAATTACCTCTCATTGAAGAAGTTGTAGTTTCTCAAAAGTTCCAACCTCCCTTGCCTCAGAGCATTTACACTGAATGCTCTCATGTGGAATATTCTTTCTTCTTTTCTCCTCCATTTTTTTGAGTTGTCCTTTAGATATGAGAGAGAATTTCACCATCTTTTAATATAATAGTGGCTGTTAACCACTAAAGTTGTATGAAATTGGTCATTTTAAGGAAAAGAAGGAGGATGTAAGGGGCTTTAGCTTGTAGACTCAACTATTTTGACTGACAAAGTTTACCTCCTTCACACTGTTCCTAAGTCAGTGTTTTAGTTACCATCTCCAATGCTAACATGGAGACTTATGTTTGGGGAATGTTTGGAGAATATATAAGCCAGTGAATGAGAGGTCTAAAATATTGCAATTTAGTTTATCCTAATTTCTTAATTAGCTAAACAAATCCAGGTCTATATCTTTCAGTTTATAGAAAGAAATGATAAAAGAAGCAAGGTAAATCAAGAACTGAGCCCCCTATAGCTTTTGCATATTTTTTTCTCTCTCATGATTTCAACAGTTTGTGGCATTCCTTCAAATTTCTAAGAAAATGCTTATCCCAATGCGATGGTAACTTGTGTGGATCACAGGGGAAACAGTCAAAGATTTTCAGTTTGTCTTGCTAAATTCCCAAACTCTTATTCTTAACCCTGACTAATAGCAATAAATATGTGGCCAATATCATCCAAAAATTTAAATCCTAAGCTAAATAAGTCTTTCATCGAAGGAAACAACATGTGCTGGACACAGTGATGCCTGCCTGTAATCCCAGCAATTTTGGAGGCTGAGAGAGAGGAGGATCCCGAGTTTGAGGCCAGCCTCAGCAACTTAGCAAGACCCTCAATAACTTGTTGAGAAACTTCCTCCAACCAAAAATAAAATCAAAAGACTGGGAATGTAGCTTAGTAGTAAAACACCTCTAGGTATTCAATCCTCAGTACCTAAAACAAATATATAACAAAGGAACAACATTTGAAAAATATCAATAGATAAATAAATAAATCTACAAGTTACACATGTAGCAGAAACACAAATAAGTTATTATTATGTATCCTCTACTTCTACTCTGACTCTCTGTTACTTAGAACACTGCACACTTCAAACACAAAGTGAAGATCTTACTTCATCATTATTAGAAATGGTAGAAGCTGGTAGATATGGTAGTGTAACATGCCCTGGTTGTGATGGTAGTGCAGGCTTGTCTGCAAATTTGGTTTAGGCTTTCTCCTTTTCATCTTTCAAAACCTCTTCAAACCAGGATGGCAAGGTCCAGGAATTATATCATTTACTTAGTTCTGAAATGTCTAGGTTTTAGTGTGAGGTCTCAGACCACAAAGCAATAATGGGGGATCAATATTGGGCACCTGTTGGTAGTTCAGTTACTTTTCCTGAACCAAAGCCTCCTGTGATTTCCCCAAGATGAAGTACTTCTTTCCAGAATATATATATCTCCATTATATTCATCCCTTCCTGTATTATTTTCTTTGTTGGTATAATTGTCCTTTGTGAGTATCAGGCCAAGGACAATCATCAGAAGGCTACTCCTGGCCATGCTCTTTTTATAAATCATTCGGTCATCATTGGTGATGTCTAGTTTGCTGACAACAGCATAGGAGTTTGATTTAGTCAGGATTTTTTTTTCTATTGTGACTAAGACTCAACCAGAGAAATTGTAGAGGAGGAAATGTTTTTAGAGGTCTTAATCCATAGAAAGCAGGCTCTATTCCTTGGGGCTTGAGGTGAGGCAGAACATCATGGTAGATGAGTGTGGCAGAGGGAAACAGCTCACATGATGATTAGGAAGGAGAGAGAGAGAGAGAGAGAGAGAGAGAGAGAGAG